CACCTTTGTCTTTTGTATATGTTTGTATGTTGTCTCATATCTTCGTTACTGGAGTGTAAGACAATGTTGTTGTTCATCTAACGTACGGATGTATTTCAAGTATTTGTTTTATGAACTTGAAGTTCATGAAATAACTACATTTATAACTGCACATTTATTAGTTCATGACTTTCTTTATTGAATTGCAATGAGTTAACGAATGTTCTGGATTAATGAATGGATTAATGTATGTTGAATTATGTGAATACTTAAAACACATAAAACAGAACAGGTAGCTCGGTGAAAAGCTTCCCTTAATTGGGGCTCGTGAAATAAGAATCTTGTATGTAAAGAATTTCAATCTCCATTGGGAAAGAAGAAAGAGTCGTCTTCCAATTCCTGAAAGTCCAGTCAAAATGATGACTCTGGTAAGAAATGGGGGGTTGACAGATAACTAAACTTGGGGGGTTGGACAAACAAGCTCAAGGCCAAGTGGTTGGTCCAGTTGGGGAACTAAATAAAGTTCATACAAACGAACTACCGCCTTGAACAACACATAAAACAGAACAGGTAGCTCGGTGAAAAGCTTCCCTTATCTGGGGCTCGTGAAATAGGGATCCTGTACGTAAAGAATTTCAATCTCCATCGAGAAAGAAGAAAGAGTCGCCTTCCAATTCCTGGAAGTCCAGTCAAAATGATGACTGTGGTAAGGAATGGGAGGTTGACAGATAACTAAACTTAGGGGGCTGGACAAACAAGCTCAAAACCAAGTGGTTGGCCCAGTTGGGGAACTAAATAAAGTTCATACAAACGAACTACCGCCTTGAACAACACATAAAACAGAACAGGTAGCTCGGTGAAAAGCTTCCCTTGACTGGGGCTCGTGAAATAAGGATCCTGTACATAAAGAATTTCAATCTCCATCGGGAAAGAAGAAAGAGTCGCCTTCCAATTCCTGGAAGTCCAGTCAAAATGATGACCCTGGTAAGAAATGGGGGGTTGACAGATAACTAAACTTGGGGGACTAGACAAACAAGCTCAAAGCCAAGTGGTTGGTCCAATTGGGGAACTAAATTTAAAACCCAATTGGTTTTACTTGATTTGCTTGTCAAAATCACTATTTACAATTAATTATACACAAACAGATTTACCTCAACACCAATTTGATATATGTGGGATTCTCAATTCAGAAAGTCACATGGCAACAGTGAATTCACTGATTTACCTTACAGTGAGTATGCCCTTATTTTGTCGGTATATGCAGATGGATTGTCATGTTATGTAACTTGGTGCACAAACTTTGGTTTTCTCGATTTTTTTATTATAGTGACAACTCATCTCTTATTGATATATGTGGGATTCTCAATTCAGAAAGTCACATGGCAACAGTGATTTCACTGTTTTACCTTACAGTGAGCATGCCCTTACTTTGTCGGTATATGCAGATGGATTGTCAAGTCACGTAACTTGGTGCACATGCTTTGGTTTTCTCAATTTTTTGCTTGATTTTTTTATTACAGTGACAACTCATCTCTTATTGATATATGTGGGATTCTCAATTCAGAAAGTCATATGCCAACACTGAATTCACTGATTTACCTTAGAATGAGCATGCCCTTATTTTGTCGGTATATGCAAATGGATTGTCAAGTCATGTGACTTGGTGCACAGGCTTTGGTTTTCTCAATTTTTTGCTCGATTTTTTTATTACAGTGACAACTCATCTCTTATTGATATATGTGGGATTCTCAATTTAGAAAGTCACATGGCAACAGTGAATTCACTGTTTTACCTTACAGTGAGCATGCCCTTACTTTGTCGGTATATGCAGATGGATTGTCAAGTCACGTGACTTGGTACACAGTATTTGCTTTACTCTGTTTTTTTATTCTAGTGACAACTCATACCTTGTTCGTATATGTGGGATTGTCATGCAGAGGCATCTTTCTAAAGCCGTTCATAACCAACTATATAAACGACTAAAGGTGAAGACACAACCTTACAACTCATTTCGCCCTACGAAATTATCATTCATTTGTTTTAAAAAATTAGCATGGCTACATGGTTCATGGGAGGGAGTGGGAATCACAGAGGTGGTAGGAACTTGCAAAGGGGTGACAGTTCACGACGATGAGGGGGAAGAGGAAGTGACGATGCTGAAGATGAAACACCATTTCCTTTGTTAGATGCCTCTTGTGCTTATCATGATAGGTTTGGTAAGCGACATTTTGTCATGCCCAAGTACTATCGAGATCCATGTGGTTTGGTGGAGCAACCATCAGATAATCAAACAGGATATGGTTTAGCAAACGCTAGACTTCTGAAGTGGCCCGCACTATTTATAGAACGAGTGCAAATGGAAAGATTATGTCGGGAAAATCGACTGAATGTGCCAAAAGCACGTTCTGTTGAGATCCAAAAGGAAGATCCTGATAATGTTGATCGACTATGTGAAAGACTACAACGTGAGATTTCTCAAATGCGCCGTAGGTTAGCCCGCGATATATAACTATACATAGTTAAGAAGGATGCCCAAAAGAGCAAAACAGAACCAAATGATGCGGCTATCAAGGGTATCATGGAGGATCCTGAGCTTGTCTCTGACGCTGAGCTTTCGGATTATTCAAACTCTGAGCCACCTACCAATTTAAGCGCGAATTAGGTGGTAATGTCTACACTTCGGCAATATTAGGTCATGCATTAATATGTAATGTCTGTGTTAGAGTAAGTGTTTCCGTAATGAGTTTGTCAGATTGTCTGGCTAATATTTGTCTGTCTAACTGTTATGTTTATCTATGTATTGTGTGTTCAGTTCATGGTGTCCATAATGTATTGTTGTCCGAGACTTATGTCTGTACTACCTATGTATTTTTGTGGGAGACTTATGTGTTTTTTCCTCAAGGTTTTATGAATTACATTATCACCTTCTAACCCAAAACAAAGACAACAGAAAAAAAAATTATTTAAATGAAAACGGCTTTAGTAAAGCCAAAACAAATTTCTGAATAACACATTCTAACCCAAAACAAAGACAAGAGAAAAAAATAAAAAATAAAAAACTTTACATGAAAACGGCTTTAGTAAAGCGAAAAGAAATTTATGAATTACATTATCACCTTTTAACCCAAAACAAAGACAACAGGAAAAAAAAATATTTACATGAAAACGGCTTTAGTAAAGCCAAAACAAATTTCTGAATAACACACTCTAACCCAAAACAAAGACAAGAGAAAAAAATAAAAATAAAAAACTTCACATGAAAATGGCTTTAGTAAATCGAAAAGAAATTTATGAATTACCTTATCACCTTCTAACCCAAAACAAAGACAAAAGAAAAAATATATATATTTAAATGAAAACGGCTTTATTAAAGCCCAAACAAATTACTGAATAACACCTTCTAAACCAAAACAAAGAAAAAATAAAATAAAATAAAATTTTGCATCAAAACGGCTTTACTAAAACTTAAAAAATTTATGAATTACATTATTACCTTCTAACCCAAAACAAACACAAGAAAAACAAAATAAATTTACTTTAGTCAAGCCAAAAAAAAATGTTAAATTACACATTCTAACCCAAAATAAAGACAAAAGAAAAAAAAAATTAACATGAGAACGGTTTTAGTAAAACAATTGTAACCCAAAAATTATTCTGAAATACATTATCACCAAAACAATGACAACAGAAACAGAAAAAAAAAAACCAAAAAAAAAATTTACGCTAAAAGCGTGGTTCATAACCACAATTTCAGAAGAAAAAAATTTTGGCCAAAAAGCGTGGTTCGAAAGAGCGAGTTCAGAAGAAAAATGTTTTTTGATAAAATCGTGGTTAGGAACAGCGAGTTTAGAAGAAAAAAAAAAATGGATAAAATCGTGGTTTGGAACAGCGAGTTCAGAAGAAAAAAAAATTAATTAAAAGCACGTTTTGTAATCGCGATTTCTTAATCAAAAGCGCGTTTTGTAACCACGATTTTAAGATTTCCCAACTTCCACGCGAGACAGGCGTATATGTATTGAAATCGTGGTTCACAACCGCGATTTAGCCTATTTCGGGAATTCTTTCAAAACTAGGCTTAGTTTGGGAATTGATTTACTATTTTGGCTTATTTAGGGAAATGCCCCCCGTTTAGATAGTTAAAGATCACAAGAGTGTGAGCCGGGGACATTTCCCTAAATAAGCCAAAATACTAATTCAATTCCCAAACTAAACCTAGTTTTGAAAGAATTCCCAAAATAGGCTAAATCGTGGTTCACAACCACGATTTCAACGTTTGTGCGCCTGTCTTGCATGAAAATTGGGAAGTCTTAAAATCGTGGTTATAAAACGCGCTTTTGATTAAGAAATCGCGATTACAAAAGGCACTTTTAATTAATTTTTTTTTTCTAAAATCGCTGTTGAAAACCCCACTTTCACTATGTGAAGAAAGCGTGGTTAGAAACCACGCTCTCAACACTGCCCTAGCATGCACTCACAAACACTCTCCCTTTGACTCACTCTCACTTTAACTCTGACACCAAACACCAAACACAAACAAACACTCACACACACGGTCACACTCAATATATATATATATATATATATATAAATTACTCTAAATCATTTTCCCCAAACAGAATTGCCTCAGCCAAGTTGATTCCCAATGCCAGCCTAAAGAAATGGAATCACAAGCTTCATGACATCACAGCAGCAAGTAGCCAAAAAGTTTCACCTGTTTCAAGACATCAACCATCCCTCTAAAAAAAAATGGAGCCCACACACAACAAACAAACAAACAAACAAAACAAAAAAGAGAGGAAAACAAGGTCTTGTTTGATTTTGTTTTTGTTATCTTTGTTTTCAATTTTCAAGTTTTCATAATCAAAAACAATGAAATATTTGAAGACATCCACTGTTTTCAGATTGTTTTCATTATTGTGCAAAAATAGTTTTCGTAAATTCGCATACAACTTCTAATGTTTTCTAGAAAGTAGTTTGTATTCAGATTTTTTTTACCCTTGAGAACAGTTTTTGGCAACAACTAGTCAAAAAAGTTAATTTCTAGAAAATGAAAACAAAAAACACAGCAAAAACAGAACCAAAACGGCTCATGATAGTATATGTAGCCTAACAAACAAGGAAGGGACCATCACTAAATTACTCATCAGTGAGAAACATTTTCGCTCCCTATGGGCGAAGAATTTTGGTTCCCTAAAACGTCTTTGTGATTCGCAAACCGGCTTCGAAAAAACATCACTGCACTCATCAAGTCTGGCCCCAAGGAAATTGTGCTTCTTCTTTTTTGGGTATAACAAGCTTTGTCACCACTGATTTCGTATCATTCTCATTTTTGTGCAAATTTTGGTCCCCTAAAACCTTGTGCTTCACAAACCAGCTTCGAAAAAACATCACGGCAGCCATCAAGTCCGGCCCCAAGGAAATCATGCCTTCATCAGCTTCTCTTTTTTGGGTATAAAAAGCTTTGTCAGAAGTAGCAACAGATATTGGTATCACCAAAACATCACGAGCAATCCTGGAGAGCGTAGGATACTTGGAGCTTGCAGCTTTCCACCAAGTCAATGCATTGAAATCCTGGCTCCACCCTATGATAGGTTCCTCCAAATACAAATCCAATTCTGACTTGACCTGCCTAGACCTAGAAGATTGGAGGAACAATTATATATATATATACTGTGTGTGTGAGTGCTTGTTTGTGTTTGGCGTTTGGTGTCAGAGTCAAAGTGAGAGCGAGTCAAAAGTGAGAGTGTTTGTGAGTGCATGCGAGGGCAGCGTTGAAAGCGTGTTTCTAACCACGCTTTTTTCATACAGTGAAAGCGTAGTTTTGAATAGTGACTTTAGAAGAAAGAAAATTAATTAAAAGCGCCTTTTGTAACTATGATTTCTTAATTAAAAGCGCGTTTTGTAACCACAATTTTAAGACTTCCCAATTTTCACACGAGACAGACGCACAAACGTTGAAATCGTGGTTGTGAACCACGATTTAGCTTATTTTGAAAATTCTTTCAAAACTAGGCTTAGTTTGGGAATTGAATTAATATTTTGGCTTATTTAGGGAAATGCCCCTGTGAGCCGTTCAACTTTTAATACTATATAAAAATATATTTAAATATACAAAAAGTATATTGAGAAATATATAATGTACTATTAAAATTTTAATTTATTATTTTTTAATTATTAACAAACGAACATTTAAATTTTTTTATTATTTATTTTTTATGTCAAAAACATATATTTTTTTTAAAAATACCATGTTACCTTCTGTTCTACAATAACAATTTGTCATACTTAAAATTTTTATGAATTAATGATATTTATAAAAAGAAGAGGAAATCGCAGTTGGAGAAATTTTCTTACTAATGGGTCACTTTAAATAAATAGATTTTAACTTCAAAATTTAAATTTAAAATAAAAATAAAAATAAAATGATAATCAATTAAGGCTAATGATCATGCAGCAACAAAGAGAAATACTACGATAGTTAAAAGGAGTAGTGACAAAACAAGAGTAAGCAACAATACTGCCAACAGTTCATACAAGTTCAGCACCAGAAAACAGAAACAATTATTTACAAAAGCCCTGTTCAAATATAGTCATTAAATCTAACCAAAAAAAAAACTCCTTGATACTTGACTTCAGTAACCAAAATAAGTGCCACCAAACAGAAGGGTCATGCTACATCCCCTTAAAATTTTCCCCCCTAATCCCCCTAATTTTCATATCAAGTAAAAATCCCCCCAATTTTCATATCAAAAAAAAAAAAAAAAAAAAGGAAAAAATTGCCTAAATTAGAAATTATGGGGATTAGGGGAGAAAATTTTAGGACTCTAAATCATTTTCCCCAAACAGAATTGCCTCAGCCAAGTTGATTCCCAATGCCAGCCTAAAGAAATGGAATCACAAGCTTCATGACATCACAGCAGCAAGTAGCCAAAAAGTTTCACCTGTTTCAAGACATCAACCATCCCTCTAAAAAAAAATGGAGCCCACACACAACAAACAAACAAACAAACAAAACAAAAAAGAGAGGAAAACAAGGTCTTGTTTGATTTTGTTTTTGTTGCCTTTGTTTTCAACTTTCAAGTTTTCTTGAACAAAAACAATAAAATATTTGAAGACATCCACCGTTTTCATATTGTTTTTATTCTTGTGCAAAAGTAGTTTTTGTAAATTCGCATACAACTTCTAATGTTTTCTAGAAAGTAGTTTGTATTCAGATTTTTTTTACCCTTGAGAACAGTTTTTGGCAACAACTAGTCAAAAAAGTTAATTTCTAGAAAATGAAAACAAAAAACACAGCAAAAACAGAACCAAAAGGGCTTATGATAGTATATGTAGCCTAACAAACAAGGAAGGGACCATCACTAAATTACTCATCAGTGAAACATTTTCGCTCCCTATGGGCGAAGAATTTTGGTTCCCTAAAACGTCTTTGTGATTCGCAAACCGGCTTCGAAAAAACATCACTGCACTCATCAAGTCTGGCCCCAAGGAAATTGTGCTTCTTCTTTTTTGGGTATAACAAGCTTTGTCACCACTGATTTCGTATCATTCTCATTTTTGTGCAAATTTTGGTCCCCTAAAACCTTGTGCTTCACAAACCAGCTTCGAAAAAACATCACGGCAGCCATCAAGTCCGGCCCCAAGGAAATCATGCCTTCATCAGCTTCTCTTTTTTGGGTATAAAAAGCTTTGTCAGAAGTAGCAACAGATATTGGTATCACCAAAACATCACGAGCAATCCTGGAGAGCGTAGGATACTTGGAGCTTGCAGCTTTCCACCAATTCAATGCATTGAAATCCTGGCTCCACCCTATGATAGGTTCCTCCAAATACAAATCCAATTCTGACTTGACCTGCCTAGAACTAGAAGATCGGAGGAACAATTTGTACTCTTGCAATAAACTCAGAGTGCCATTTGAATCATTCTCAATTTTCACATAATCATTGTAAAGTTTGTGCATGGCCTTCAAAACCTTTGAGTAGCTATAATCGCCCTTAAATTTCAAAGAAGAAAATTCTATGTATTTCATCTTGAAGCGAGGATCCATCACTGAAGCAATTGCCAGTACCAAGTACATATTGTTCATATACTTGCTAAGCGACTGAAGCAACTTCTTACTCACATTAGTTAAAACATTATTTGACCTGGACCATCGAATGAAGTACGCCCGAAGCTCTTGAAGATGATGGAGATAGATGCTAGCAGTTGAATACCCCATTCCAAATAATGGAAACACTATGCCATATATGTCGTCTATATATCTATTGATATTACGGACTTTCCTCAATTCCTTGGCCGACGGTTTATCAGTCCTGGAATCCCTATATCCGTAAGAAAATGTACCTCGAGAATGTAGTAGTGAAGCCTCTTTTATCTGGTTGTTTTTGTTATACCATGAAGGCTCCGGTTCCTTAAATGAATACATACTGCCAATCTTGTCAACAATTTTACTTATCTCCTTATTTGCATCTTGCACCATGAGACTGACAATGTCACTGCAGCAACACACTCGAAATAGTCGACCATTAAGTGGGAGCTCCTTCTTTCTGCGAATGTGATCCTTAACAATCTCAATAGTTTCATCATAAATACTGCTATTTGACATAGTGATTGTGGATATCTTTTTCTCAATGCCCCACTCTTTCAAGGAATTTAGAATGACTTCATGCAGAGCAGCTTGTGATTGATGCCCAACACAAGTGAAATTAATAATCCACTTTTGCATCTCCCAATTATCATCAATGAAATAAGCTGTTAGGCACAAATAATCAGAACCACTCTTGCCAGGTTTTGCAGAACTCAGTATGTCTACAGAGAGGCTGATCTGCCCATCCAAATTCCTTAAAGTCCCTCTAATTTTCTCTCTCTGTTCCTTAAAAAATTTGAGGCACCAAAGCCTAACAAAATCAAAACTAACGTGAAGCTGAGGGTCAAGCATTTGTACAATTTCCTTAAAATCTTTATCTTCAACTGCCTTGGGTGGTGACATTTCAGAGCAGAAAACCTTTGTGAGAGCTAGGCGGGCTTTTACTTCGTTGACCAAATCTTCATTGAGATTCATTCTGTTATCTGCAGACCACGAAATGACATCACTGTCATTGTTTCATGATTAAAATTATCAAAATTCAATGAAACACCCTAAACACATCAATGTAAAAGAGTCATATTAATTTATTCTCAAACGCAACGACAGACTCTAAAATGCTAGAACAATTACATATTATAGGTACTATAGATAAAATCACTTTATTTACTCGAGTATCGAACCAGCAATAGAATAAAAAAATGGTTAACGTTTGCAACAAATTCATTGGTAATCTGCATTTGCAAGCACTCATTACATTCATTTTCTTTTTAACAAAAACATCAACCGTTTTACACATGTTTTCATTAATTTTTTGCAAATTCTAAAAACAACAATGGCATGTAATGTAACCACATATCCATTTATATGCCTACTTTTAGGACTATAATATGAATAATGCTATTGTGGCCAAACGTGGTTACAAAACATTGACAACCAAATGATGAATCACCAATCCATGGATGCAATACATGAAAGGTGGGGCCCACTCCTTTGGTGACATTATCCAACTTTTGGCATCCAAATTTAATCACAAAAGTATCATTGAAATACATCCATCTAACCACTATTTGATTCCTTGTGTTTCCTCTCTTCGTTCTTTTCTTTCTTTCTCCCCCAAAAGAAAGGAGAGAAAAACCCAAAGTGCCATGTGGGTCTTAAATCCTGCCATCCCTTAGTGGGATTAGAAAAAATATGAACCCTATTACATTTCTTGAATGGTCTTGCTAACAAGTGCGTCTGGGCATAAGGAAAAGACAAAAGAAAGGAAAAACAAACGCAAGGCACCTTTCACTAATTTCAAGACACTTACCATTGATTTCAAAACAAATTTTACCCTTCTCACCATTTACAAAGCATTTTTTTAACACTATTCACAATATTAAACAATATCTTAGAGGCACTTGTTAACATTTGCCTTTCTTGAAATATAACAGAGTTCAAAAGCTATATACACACATAAATGAATTCCCAATAAAAGAATGCTTCAAATTAGAAACATCCATTCCTCGGTATATACCATAGGTGAGTTAACAATCACAGATTTCTATACATGTATACAATATTACCTTCAGAAATTGCCGCCTATATATTATTTTACTCTCACTATTGGATTTTTGAAAGCAGATAGTAGCATATGGAAATATAACTAACTACATATTATAAAGGCATGCACATACTAGAAAACACATCATCTACCTTGAGAGAGAGAGAAAAGGGTGTTTCATAGATAGACAATTTGCACATACATTCAAACCTATAACAAGAGTGAACAATTAGAACAACTGAAAGAGAAAAAAGGTTAGAGGCGAACCTGATCGGAGTCTCTTTCAGATTAGGGTTTCTATGATTCTATTGCTAATATAATATGCCCGAGAGACTAATTTTTTTTGTGATCTTGGGCGGCAAAAAGCCAAGGCTAAAAAAAAGTGGGGATGTGCGGGGTGTACTCTTTTGGTTATGTTTGGAAACACGAAGAAGGCAGTTCCAGACCTCGCATTTTTGCGCGGGAATAATCATATCATTATCATTATAAACAGAGATGTCCACATTTTGGTGTACCTGTTAAAACATATTATAAATTATAATTTAAGCTTCTGTTTGTTTTCAGAAATAGAATAGAGGAGATTCGTAGTGAGGGGATTAATAGTGAGGAAATTGTTAGTGACGGGATTGATAATGAGTGGATTAATAGTGAGAGAATTGATAGTGAGAAATTGTTAAATTATTTTTATATAAAATAATAAAACAAATAAAAAAATATAAAAAATTAAACATTGTATTTAAAAAAATTCCCAATATATAAAAAATAAAAAAAATTTTAATCCCCTCACTATTTTTTTAATATCATCTCTACCTCCTCCTTACCAATCCCGCTTCCTCCTCCTTACTAATACCAAGGGATTAATAATATCCTCCCTATCTCTCAAAACAAACACCCCATTCTCAATCCCCTCCTCACTACCAAACCCAATCCTCTCCCTATAACTCCAAACAAACGGGGCCTAATAGATTATAGATTATTATTTTAATCAGAAGTTGTTAATCTGTTTGATATAGCTGTTGGATTATAGATTTAAATTACTGAGTAGTGTTTGTTAAATAACTTGTGAAGTAGTTTTTTCAATTAATTTTTATTTTTTATTATTCACTATTTGTCTACATTTCTCATAAAAAATAATAATAATATTTTATAGTCCATTTTGGTCTTTTTCTATTTTTAAAAAATAAAAAATAAAAAAATCTGAGAGTATAACCGTGAATTAACATGTCCACAGCAGAAGCTGATAATTAGAAGTAAGAGGTGAGCAGCTTCTCAAAATCAACTTTTTTAACTTAAAATAAATTGTTAGAATCAGAAGTTGTTTGAAATAAGTTTAACCAAACAGTTTAAAATAACTTTTTAAAAGTCAGAAGCCATAAATTAGCTCAAAAAAACCCCACCAAACGCCCCCATTGCTTACTCATAAACAAACAAACAAACGGACGGGCATGCATGGCATAGGCTATGTTTGGCATGAGTTTTTTTTTTTGCCTATTTTAGTCATAAAAAAATAAAATGGATTAAAAAGTTAATAAGACAAAATGTCACGTCTAAACCATAATTAGTTTATTTTTTTCTCTCACAAAAACCAAAAAAATCAAAAAGTACGTCTCAAACGAGACTTTTTAGCCCCAAACTAAAATAACCAAAAAGCCAATCTATATCCCAAACGAAAGCATAGAGAACTAGTTCAAGTGATTATAATGTTATAGATTCTAAATTTTCTATCAAATGAATTATCAAATGTCTCACTGTAGATTCCACATCTATGTGAGACATTTAGTAATTTATTTGATAAAAAATTTAATATCCCTAATATTACCCTTCTCTTTGGCTATCATCTCATCTCTAAATAAATGTGTAGATTAAATATAAATAAATAAATAAATGTTACTAAATAACACCTTATCAAGTTTTTGGGTATCAATAAAATATTAATCAGGTGATTACCTAAATTATCATATTTATATAAGAGTTTACTCTCACACAGTGTCACGATTGCTGATTAGTGTGGTGTTCAATAAATCCCTAATATTTATCGGTCTTCATGCAATGATCTAATCTTTCATATTATAAATTTGTAAATTAAATCGATTTGACAATAGTAATCACATGATTTGATTACCTTAATATTTAAAAAAATATAAAAAATTTATGTCTAAAATCATATTTTATGTAATTTGTTTTTAAAAAAAGTATATATATATATATTGAAAATATGTGATCAATAGGGCCATTGAATCAATTTAAAAAAAAAAAAATTCCCCATAAATGACCTATACAGAAGAATTCACTATAGTCTATATGAAAGAATTAAATTATCCAACAATAGCCCGTAATGAGCCAAAAGAAAGGAGCTGGACAACTCATAGACCGGACATAAGCAATTTCGTAAATAATTTCCTTTGTAAGGAGAGAGAGAGAGAGAGAGAGAGAGAATGCCCATGCAAGCAATAAAGTAAACATGGCAAAAGGACCCAACATCATAAACCACGTTCATGAGTAGCTAATGTTAGGGAAAATATGTCATTCTCCATAAGTAAATCAATTAATGAGAATAAAAATTAATACAGAAAAATTAAATCAAAGGCAACACAAGAATTTTTACGTGATTCCCTTAATGTGAGGTACGTCTACGGGATCGAAATCCGATTCCACTATCAACCAAATAAATTTCAAACGATTACAAACGAGACACCAATGGTCTCACAAAATTACACTTAGGTGAATTCCAAATAATCACAAATAAACAAGAGGAAAGACCTCACCAAATAGGTGAACCAAAGTCTTCAGAATCAGAGTTGAAGAAGACCCAAAATCATTAACCCAAACAGCCGAATCCAAAACAGCCCACCGAATCAACACAACAACAAGGCATTGAATTTGACCAAGTCAACTTACACAATCAACACCAATTGACAAACCCACCAAATTTGTTTTCAATGTTGTTCTGTATCTACGGCACAGCACACTAAAACAATATATATATATATTGTTAATCTATGGTTTTGTAATCAAGCCCTAATTGTACCCAAATTGAATTGGGCCTCCACAAATATAATATATAAAAATATATTATACCTAAACCAAGTCAAATTAAAATTCTTTAACAAACCAATTGGGTCCCACACTCCAATAACGAGGTATACCCAACAATTCTCCCCCTACCGACTTAGGTGGAGATATCAACCATACTCGCCAAAGTTCGACACTTCAAATGTTTGTCCCTCGACAAAGTCTTTGTCAACATGTCTGAAATATTATCATCTGTGTGAACCTTTTCGAGTTGTAATAATTTCGAATCTAACACATCACGAATCCAGTGGTATCTCACATCAATGTGTTTCGATCTCGAATGAAAAGTAGAATTTTTACTCAAGTGAATAGCACTTTGACTATCACAATAAAGTACATACTTTTCTTGCTTTAAACCCAACTCTTGCAAAAATTTCTTCAACCATAACTCTTCTTTGCAAGCTTCTGTAATAGCAATAAATTCAGCTTCGGTAATTGAGAGAGCAATACATTTTTGTAATTTAGATTGCCATGCCACAGCTCCCCCTGCCAAAGTCATCAAATACCCCGAAGTAGATTTCCTAGAATCAACATCACCAGCCATGTCAGAATCTGTGGACCCATCAAGCATCGGCTTACCATCCCCAAAACACAAACACACCTTCGAAGTTCCTCGAAGATATCTTAGAATCCATTTTACCCCTGCCCAATGTTCTTTACCCGGATTAGAGAGAAAACGACTCACCACACCAACGGCGTAAGCAATATCCGGCCTTGTACAAACCATGGCGTACATCAAAGAACCAACTGCTGAAGCATAAGGAACTTTCAACATCTCTTCTTTGTCTTTCTCACTTGTAGGACATTGATTCGAACTAAGCTTGAAATGACCTGCAAGTGGACAACCAACCGGCTTCGCTTTATCCATATTGAACCTCTCAAGAACTTTCTCAATGTAGCATTCTTGAGACAACCAAATCAGCCTTTTTTTGTGATCACGAACAATTTTCATGCCAAGTATTTGCTTTGCCGGCCCCAAATCTTTCATAGCAAAAGACTTGCTTAACTCCAATTTCAACCTGTTTATCATGGTAGAATCTTGACCCACAATTAACATGTCATCAACATAAAGCAAAAGAATAATAAATTTACCATCCGGGAAATTTTTCACAAACACACAATGGTCCGAAGTGGTTTTAGAAAAACCATTATTCATCATGAAAGAGTCAAATTTTTTGTACCATTGCCGCGGGGCTTGCTTGAGGCCATACAAACTTTTCTTCAATTTGCAAAACAAATTTCTCTTTCCCTTTCTCTACACAAACCTTCCGGTTGCTCCATGTAAATTTCTTCTTCAAGGTCACCATGAAGAAATGCGGTCTTCACATCAAGTTGCTCAACTTCAAGGTTCATACTTGCAGCCATGCCAAGTACAACCCGAATAGAAGACATCTTCACAACTGGCGAGAAAATTTCATCAAAATCAATACCTTTCTTTTGTCCAAAACCTTTCACAACAAGACGTGCCTTGTACCTCAGATTCTTGCTATCATTCTTCAATTTGAAAACCACTTATTTTTCAGAATTTTCCTCCCTTTAGGCAACTTCACTAAATCATAAGTGTGATTTTTAAGTAAGGAATTCATCTCCTCTTCCATGGCCTTTTTCCAATCATCTTTCTTTGCATGCTCAATTGCTTCTTGGTAGCTCTCAGGCTCCCCTTGATCGGAAATCAACACAAATTCATTGGGAGGATACTTTCTTGAAGGTTGTCGGTCCCTTGTAGATTCCTCGACTCAAGTTGTGGTGACGGTACTTGAGTTGGATGCTCTTCCTCAATTTCTAGCTCAACTTCATTAGGATTAGCATCATCCTCCACATCTTCAATAGGTGGCTGCACATCTCCCCATTTTCATCATCAACTGAAGATGAAGGAGATGGATCCATGTCAATGAGATCACTAGTGTTTTGCTCCGGTTGATCACCTTTGCCAAAGTCTTCAATTGTTGGTCTTCAAGAAAACACAACATCACGGCTTCGAATGATTTTTTGTCAACCGGATCCACAATCTATACCCGAATTCATCCACGCCCATAGCAAGAAAAATACATTGTCTTGACTTGCTATCAAGCTTGGACCTCTCATCTTTTGGAATGTGAACAAGGCTCGGCAACCAAACACTCTCAAGTGCTCGTAAGACACATCTTTGCGGTCAAACTCTTTCTGGAACATCACCATTCAAAGGATAGGAAGGTGACAAATTGATCACGTCAACCGCTGTTCTCAATGCCTCATCCCAAAAGGATCTTGGCAATTTAGTTTGTGAAAGCAAACACCTTGTTCTTTCCATAATGGTGCGGTTCATCCTCTCGGCAACTCCATTTTGTTGAGGAGTCTTCTTAACTGTCTTTTGATGCCGAATACCTTGG